CATGGCATGCTACCTGGGTATCACTGCCGATTATTCAGAGCCCAAGGACTCTTTCATCAGCAAGTGATGGGCCCTGCTTGGACTGCATCTTTCTGTTTAAGGCAGCAGTTTCCTTCTGGCCCAGGGTGTGTCTAACAATATCATCTGGGACCTGGAGCCTAGAAAGAGGGTCTCATGACTGATTAGTGCCGTATCTTACTGTGGCTGAGATGTATCCAAGATGCAAGACAACGTCTTCTTTATTCTTCCCTCTCCTCTTCTCTAGCAGAAGGAAGGAGTCTTGAGCTGTGCAGCCTGGATTTCGGGGAGGGTTGGCACAAGCACTCGCATTGCCCACTCCATCTGATTTCTCAGTATGTTGTGTATTTCGCAAGTCCACCAGCACTGAGCCTAGAACTCGAGTTCAGCACTAGAACTTGCCTAGGAGTGGCAGTTCTTATGGCCTAGACTTTATCTTACGTTTATTTAGGGTCCCAGTGCACTTTAGCCCATGGTAGTAATGCTTACCAGAACTCAAATTTTGACTGCTGGGATGGGAAACTCCCCTCTAGCTAGGGCTGGCTTAAATCTCCCTCTGTGGGCAGGTTTCAGCTGAGTTCAGCCTGGTTTTGCTTTCATGGCAGCACTAAGGTCAATGTAATGTTTCACGATCGTTGTGTTCACCCTCTCCCAAGTTCTCAGATTTTCTCTCCGCACCATGCAGCCACTGCCCAGGGATGGGGGAGGAGTGGAATCAGGGATTCAAGCCTTTTTTCTACCCTCTTCAATGCCTCTTTTAGCCATATGAAGTTAAAACCAGGTTCTGTGTGTGGTCACCTAATTTTTGGTTCTTATAAAGGCTTTTGTTTTTGTTTTCAGTATAGACAGTTGTTAAAGTGGTGTCCCTGCAGTGGGGCATGGGGAAGATTGGTAGAGCCTTCTATTTGGCTATTTTGCCCTACCCCTGGTGTCAAGGCAGTGACTTTTGAAGATAGCTGTCCTACTCTGTCCTCCAGCACATGCCATTTACACATCTTCATAATGTGCATTTGTCCTCTCCAACTTGACTCTGTTTCAGTTCTCTCCACTTAAGACCACTCCTCTTATTAGATAAGTCCATCTCTGCTTCTTGAAACTTTCTTTGCTTTGTCTCCCCCCATAACTTCTAGTGCTGTGTGTTACTCATTTGCTATTTGCTATACAATAAATAATTTCATGACATTTCTTATTTTAAGCGTCACCATAATTAAGTTCCTAGAAGGAAAGCAAAGTTTTTTTTTTTTTGCATCGCTTACGGCAGAGATGGCCCTAGACACATAATAGGCAATCAGAATCTGCTGAGTGAGTTTATGAGTGCATGACCCACTGGGAATGGCTAGTTTCCTTAGAAAGGCCTATACCATTAAAAAAGAGTTACTTTTTAATAAGCACATACTATGTGCCAGATACAGGACTAAGCAATTTCCATGGGCTATATACTTTAATCAAAATGATAGCATTCTCAGGGGGATGCTATTATGACCTCCACAGCAAGTAAGTGAGGGTGCAGACATTCAGTTCTAGCCAGTCAGGCTCTGAAGCAAGCAATCTTGAACCAGAAACTTGAATGTTATAGCAACAACTGAGCCACCTTAATTAAGTAAACAGCAAAAGATGTAATATGCCTCCTTCATGAAAATTAAGGGGTCACATTTCAAGGGAAAATGTTTTCCTTCATGATGACTCTGGGCATATCAGGTAACCTGGTTACTGTGTGCAATTATTTCATGTGCATTAATTTTGTCCAGGCACAAAGACCATAACAATTAGTATGTAACAGTTACCACTTAATACCATGTGTCAGACACTGTGCTAAGTACTGTACATTCATTATTTCATCTCTTCTGCCCAACAGCTCTAAACATTGGTATTATTATTTTGTTATTGCTAGTGTCCAGATGGGAAACTGAGGATCAGAGAGGTTAAGCAACTTCTCAGAGTCACACAGTCAGTGGGTGTAAAGTTCTATCAAAATCCCAGCCTCTCCTACTAAAAAATGTGTCCTCTTAAATGCTAAACCATGGGCTTTCAAATTTCAGTGTGCACAAGGATCTCTGGGGGGCTAGTTAAATGCAGATTCCCCAGACCCTACCCTCAGCGATTCTCTAGTACCTCAGGGATTACATGTACCCTCTATGCTCAGGGATTCTGTACCCTCAGGGATTCTATGTACAGATATGGTGGTGTCTAGAAGCTGTGTTTTTAACAGCCACCTAGGGTTATCTGCTGCAGATTGTCCATGAACTGCACTCTACTACACTGACTTCCCTCCTGTCTGTAAGTAGCTTGAAGTAAAGTCTTCTGTAGGCTGTTCCCAGATATTGGGTTTTATCATGTAGCCAGTGCCCCCAAAGCAGTGATCAGGAGCTTGCCCTGTAGCCCGCCATTACGACCAGGATTTAACACCTGTGGCTATTTCTTAGTTAGAGATCCTCTTCTTAATGCTCCTTTGTTCTCCTGTTTTGGATGGCCTCACTGGAAACCTTGCAAATCCTTTCATTTCTACCCCCCATATTAGGCCATTCTTGCCTTGGTGTAAAGAAATACCTGAGACTGGATGCTTTATAAAGAAAAGAAGTTTAATTGGCTCATGGTTCTGCAGGCTGTACAGGAAGCAGAGCACCAGCATCTGCTTCTGGGGAAGCCTCAATGGCAGAAGGTGACATGGCAGCTTGCACATCACGTGGTGAGGAGAAAGAAAGAGAGAGTTGGGGGAAGGTGCTTCACTTCACAACAACCAGATCTCGGGAGAGAACTCACTCACTAACACAAGAATAGCATCAGACCATGAATGGTCTTCCCCCATGACCTAAACACTTCCCACACGCCGCATGTCCAACATGGGATCACATTTCAACATGAGATTTGGTGGAGACATATAGTCAAACGATGTCACTCTGTAAAGTGTAGCCTGATCTAAATATCCAGCATCATGCTTCTGTCTCCCTGGCCATCATCTTCTTGGACTCCCTAGCTTCTCTCTGAAGTGACCACCCAGGCAAAAAGCATTCCCAATTCTCAGAGCCACAGAGCAAGCATGTAGTTCTTCATAATATCTTAACTTCTTCCCTGAAACAATTACCCCTTGGTTCTGAGAAGGATACTAATGGGAAATTAATGGTGGCCCTATAATTTCCTTTTGTTCTTCATCAGAAAGTAGAAAAGTTATTAGCAAGATTTCTATGGAAAAAACTACCCTTTTGTTAATTCAGTGAATTCAAGCAAGAGTGTTGCTGCCTTTCTTGCCCCAAGGGACATTGTCATCAAATTTTGGAAAAATCCTGCCTGCTCCGTTACAAGGCTACTTTTTCCATCCTTGCCTGTGTATCCTCCGGGGACCAGTGAAATGGGTGGTTCATTCCCTGAGGGGGATTTATGAATGTCTCTTTCAATATTAATGTGATGCCTGGCAGATGCAATGTTGAGCCGCGCAGGTTTTTCCACACAGGGCAGAGTGGGGCATGACTTCCTGTGAATAACAGGTACGAAGTGCGATGTGGAGTCAGGCTGCCACTAAAGAAGGGGCACATGTTAACCAGAATAAGTGAGACCGCTGCCCCTCTGAACAGAGGGGTCTTAAAAGCAAATAATTCTACTCAAGCAGTGTGCAGTGAAACAGCTTTGGACACTTTTATAGAGATAGTGAGACAGGTTTGTACCATAGTGATGACTGCAAAATAGTTTTTTGGTGATTGGTTTACTGTTATCTCAGGTAATTCGATTTCCTTAAATATGCCTATGCCACTGCAAAGTCCCATATTAGAATGCCAAGGGTGGAGAACTATTGGATTAGAATCATAGTTCTGTGAGCATTCATTTATCCATTAATTCAGAAATATTTATTTCACCTCTACCATGTAATAGTCAATGCTAAATACTAAGGCAAAGCATATGAATCAACCAGAATTCCTACCCTTAAGGAACTTGCAGTCTGGTGAAGAGGAAGTTACAGTGCAATGTACTAAATGCTTAAATGCTGGTTTTCAAATGTGCACAGTGTGCTATAGTAGCCTAGTGGAGAGGTCCCAACCCAATGGAAGGTGGGTGAAGGAGGGAAAAGGTCAGGGAAAGTTTTCTAAATGGGACATTGGAAAAGAGTATTCAGAGGCTAAGGGTATTTGGAGGGGAGGTAGGAAGATAAACCAGGAGGCAGAGAAAGGATTAATGGCTTCATCTTCTCCAGTTGTCAGTCAATCCTTGCCAGTTGTCCAGGTTTTACCACCTGTCAACTAAAACTTAATTGAGAGAAATCTCTCATCAAGAGGTTAATTGTGACACGGATTCCCATATCCAGGAGAAAAATCCATCACCCGTGCAGACTGCTTCTTTTTTGGCATCTGGAACAGTCCTGTCTGTTAGCAAAATGTAGGTACTTACAATTGAGTTATTTCCAGTCCTCAGGTTCTTCCTGAGCTTCTTATCTTTCCTTGAATAATCTCATTGGATATTTAAAGCCTCATGGCATTCCTTTCCAAATGGACTGAGGCTGTCTCCATCTCTCCTAGACCCCTTTTTTTCCTGGCACTCCAATCTTGAATTGAAGGTGTTTTCAAGGACAAACACAGAGCAGAATTCTCAACCCGAAAATAGGAAATTCACCAGGCAAAATTCATGACCTCCCGCCTCCTGTGGTTGCAGCCTCCTATTATTTTTGTATGTCTCCGGTGCCAGAAGGACATCAAGGAACCTTCTTTCTCTTACCTTCACCACTCTGATGACTGTTCCGGCCGCTCCTTTGGGATTCCTCCAACTTGCAGCTTCATTCCATATGTTCTTCTCTTTCCTACCCAGCTACTCTCCTCCTCCCCTCCCTCCCCCTGTTCCTTTTTGCTCTGCCCCTGTTCTCAGATGATATGTGTGCATGTCTCCCTTGGCTTTTGCAGTTCCATAGGGAAGGGATCAGAGTTCTCGGTGCCTGAAGAAAGTGTGAGCAGGGTTAGTTTCTAGATGATTCCAAACTTAACATGAGTCTTATTTCCTTTTTTAAAAAAGTGGAAATATAAATGAATTAATGAAGTGATCAGAAAGAAGTAGATATGTCAAGATACCAACAAATTATATGAAAAAACAAACTGAAGCCTGGAATCTTGTTAACACCATGAAGGTAAGACCATCTATTTGATCTCTGGAAATAATGGCAGGAATGTTTGTCCTGGGTGTTTATTGCAGGCAGCTCTTGTCTTTGTCATTATTGTGTAAAATTGGCTAGAGTTTTAAAGAAATAAGGCCCAGAACCTAAAAGAAGTCCTCTGTGCAATCCTGCAGAGCAGCTGGGGGTAGCCCAGGCAACAATACTGTGGCTCACCTGAGAGTAGGGCTTTTAAGATAGAGGAGGGAACATATGCAGAGGTAGATGTCACTGGGAAAGGAAGTTAAGTCCAGTCTAGGCTATATGAGAGGTTAGGGAATCCCAAAATATTAGGGGATATTTTCATTGAGGCCACAAATAGGGTTGACAATCTCAAACTGTGGATGCTTATAAGTAGGACATCCTGGGGTAGCAAAGTTAGATTACTGTCTATGTAGGAACATGGACTATAGTGTCAGGTAGACCAGTGCGCCGACCTAGTTCTGCACTTGCCAGCTGTGAAAACCCCAGACTTGATCCTTAACTCCTCTGAACCTTCAGTTTCTTCAAACGAAGATGGGATCATAAAGCCTATCCTTCAGGGTTGTGATGTTGCAGATGAAGTCCCAGGCACAATCCCTGGATATACTGGCTATCCAGAAGCTCTCAGTCTAGCCTCACTGGCCATACTCTCAGAGTTGGTGGGGGACAAAGACATGGACACAGAGTGGCAGTGCGATGTGGCGAGTACCGTAAGAGAGGTATCCACATGTTTGGGAGTGTGGAGCCTGGAGAGGGGGTCAGGGAAAGCATCCTGAAGAAGGTGACAACTGAACTGGGCTGAAACCCCCAGGGAATAACAGTGCATGAGCTGTCACTCTGGTGGTCTGCTGTGTGAGTGTGGAATGCAAGGGAACAGAGCCAACAGTGGCAGGGTAGAGATGACCCAGCCTTATTGCTCCAGAGAAAAATGTCATGTCCCTTAAGGGACACTCACACAATTAAGACCCCAGCTTGCAGCTACTTCATACTTATCTTGTCTGTCATTGACAGCCCATTGGCAGGCCTTTTCATTGAGATAAATACAGTAAGAGAGGGTAATTCTATTGACTAATTCCTCAGCCAAAAGAGCTCTTGAAGGCTCCAATTTCCCTATGGTCTTTTCATAAAGCAATCCAGGTTGCTTAAGAAGTGAAAATTAGAGGGCAATTGGAATCAAGGGAAGAAAATGGGGTGGAGCAGACTCAAATCTGGGAGGACACAGTAGTGTCATGTTCTAAACTCAGTCCAGTCTGAGCAGACAGTTCTCTTTCCACCTTACCCCACTTCTACTAACCCACCTATTGACTACCTTATGCAACAGCTTTAATACATTTTCTGACTTAAATGTTAATGGGCACAAATGAGTCATCACTTCGGTTCTGCCAGGAAAATGTGACCTCCTAGGAAAATGTGACCTCGATCAGGTCATTTCTCCTTCTCTGGGTCTCAGCTTCTTTATCTTTAAAATAGGGAATTAGTGTGACAACAGTCTCTGGATTTATCCAGCTCTAATGTCTAGGGCTTCATGGATTTGCATTTCCGAGAGCTGCAGGTCCCACTGGAAAACAGATACCTTGGAGAGTGGAGATAGAAAGGGAGAGTCATTTTGGGGGAATTTGGCCACTAGGGGAGCCACTGAGCAACACTGTGTCCACTACAGATTGCGCTGGATACTCCTGTTTTCTATTTTGCACCAGGGCACCCTGTGGTTTAGCAGCAACCCTGGGGAGCGGTAGTGTTTTCTCAGGATTACAGGTTGCTTCATCTGACACTCACCCTGTTCCTGTCCCTGACCCTTCTTACTCATATCTGTGTCCTAGCACCTGGCACTGTACTTGGCACTTGGTCTTAACTCCATAAATGTCTATTCTGCTAGCTGAACTGAGCACCCAGCCCTCCCAGGGGACTAAGGAGAGAGACATTCAGTGAGGACAGAGGACACTCCAGTCCCTCCTGGATTTCTCTGTAATAACGAATCTTAACCATTCTTACTAGTTTTTCTCTCAGAGGTTAATTTTTTTTTCCAGTCCAGTAGCCACCTCCCTTCCTCCCTATGTACTGACCCCTATTCTTGGCTTGGAGCAGAGTCCCAAGCCTCTTCATACCACTCTCTGCCTTCTTTGCAACAATGGCAGGGTGGAAGAGGGGATTCTCAGTGAATTCACTTGTTAATATTTGCCTTCAGCTATTTTCATGCTTCCTAAATTCAGGCAGGCCAGGTTCCAGAGCTGTGGAAGCTGTTGGGTGGTTGATAAATCTATATTAGAAGGTGAGATGCAAGAGTCAGCATGGGTCTGTCTCTCCTGATTTTGACCATTTGCTTCCAGGAAGGAGACTTCTCTCTCTCCTGAGCTGGAAAATGGAGGAGTAAAAATCCTACCCCCTATACCGTGGAGAGAACACAGTTGGCCAAAGCTCTTCATTGTGATATTGGAATTCAGAAGGTCTTACCTGCATGTAAGATGACAATCCTGTCCCAACTGCAGTGGTAACCAGAGAAGCCTCCCATTTGGAAAGTCCCTAACCTCTATTTCACTGGAGTACCTTTTGGTAAAATTTCATATAAAATATACATCTGACTATATTCTTGAAAGACAGCCAAGTATAGTAAAAAGAGCATGGAATTTGAAGACATAAATTTAACTTCTGGCTCTGTTGCTTCTTAACTCTGAATCTGTTTCCTTGTCTGTCAAATCAAAATAGCTATTTTGAAGTTATTGTGAGGATTAAATGAGAGTATTCATTTATTTCAACAAACATTTAGTATGCACTGCATTTATTAATCAGGATAAATAACTCTTACTGCCTCAGAAAGTAAAGTTCTCAATCTCAGTGGTGCAACATAACAAACTAAAAATTTTGATGCAGGTTGGTCAGAGTCACCCTCCATCTAGTGACTCAGGGACCCAGGCTCCCTCTATGGTGTGATGGTCTGCTCTCATCACATACTTGCCAAAGCTGTTATAACAAGAGAGATCAGTGAGGTCCATGCCTTCATACCTTGGACCAGAAGTAATACATCACTTCTTTTCATGCTTCCATTTGTGGAAACTTGGTCATATGCGTCCAATTTAGCTCCAAGGGAGCTCCAAGGCAGAGAAATGTTTCTGTGTTTTATCCCAGGAAAAGGGAGCAGTGTGGAAAACAAATAGCATTGCCCCCACCACAAGCATCTCGTGTGTGTCAGGAACTGTTCTGGGCAATGGGAACACAGAGATGAACCAAAGTCACTGTCTTCAAGGAGCACACAGTCCAGAGATGAATGTTTAAGTGCAATTAGCTCTTAGGGTAATTCAAATCTCCTTTCAAATTCTCTAATTTTGCCACTGTTTCCTCTTATCAATCATTATTATATTCTAAATATTCCATGTTCCTCAAACCTTATTTCAAGCTTATTGGTTTCATCTGACTTATCCCTGACTCCCTGAATAGAGGGCAAGTCCCTCGGGCAAGGTCTGCCTCTTGGTTACCTCTCCTCCCGTGTCATCTAATGTGGAACCAAACACATAGCAGAGCTCCTTTGCCTGCAGATATTTGTTGCATGGGAAATTGTGTTTGTATCTTTTTGTTTCCTTCCCTCAATCATATTTCTCTTCTCTCTTTGCTCATGGCTTTGCCAAGTCCCCCCTCCCTAGACAGACTGTCACAGGCTAGAGACACCTACTTTCTCAACCCAGCCTCCCTTCTGACATGTGGGAACTTGCTGTTATCCCCAGAAGAGAAACAAAACATGTCTATCCTTTCTCTCTCTGCCAGACTTTCTCCTGGGACCAAGCAGGAGCTGGCCCCTGGGAGAACTGCTTGGGTTCTTGGGAAAGGGTGGCTGTCTGCGGAGTTGACCAAAAGGAACATGAGAAGCTGGAAGTAAACAAGTCAAAGGGTGAGAGACACAAACTAGGCTGTGGTCACTCTAGGGAATAGTTTGAGGCCACTTCTCCAGGCTCCCTTCCTTGGAGGTCACCTCAGACACCCTTCCTGCCGCCTTCATGTCCCAGGTTGGAGGTGGGCAGTGTCCCCCATGGCTCATCATGCTCCACTCCTCTCTGACGGAGAGAGCCTGGCTCCAGCCAGGGCTCAGTGCTCTTATCACCCCAGCAGCCAGGTCCTGCCATGCTGGTGAACAATAACGGATTCAGCCTCGCGTGTCCATCATTACCCGGCACCTTTAATCAGGAGTGTTATCTGCAGCTCCTGCCCAGGCCTCATTTAGATTTCTTGTTTGTAGCAATAATACCCTTTTAATATGCTAAATGAGCAAGCAAATGAGCCTTCCTCCACTTGCGAGGTTTCTAAAAACATCCCTTCTTTAGTGGATGAAGGTCATTCTTTTGACAGATTAATACTTAACTAGGAGGCCCTGTTTATTGTCTGGGGTCACTTCAGCGGCTGTCACAGCATATTAAAGAGCGCAGGATTGCCCATGCCTGAACAATGTAGCTAGGTGGGAGATGCGGGCGGGGCGGCCTCTTGCCAGATTCCCTTCCTTGGCTCTCATTTAAACTCTGAGGCCGTTATTAATACTTTAATTTGTAGTGCATTAATGAATTCTAATCCCCATTATGTGTTGAGCAAATGGGCCTTCAACAGGCTCTGTGCAACCCAAGTGAGTCCTGGCTGCAGGTTAGACAGATGCACTAATGGCATTAGCAGAGCAGGGACTGGGTGCTCTCTTGGAGGTGCACGGAGAGGCAGCAGGGACACTGGGTCTCTGCTGCTCAGCAACAGGGAGAAAAAGCGGGCAGGGTAAGAGAGAACCCCCTGATGGTGTTGTTTGAAACTTCTGCCCCATTGGGCCAGTTCTACCCTTAGACTTTCCAGATACGGGAACCAATTTTCCCCATTTCTGCTGAAAATTTGTTTTCATCTGTAAAATGAAGATAATGATAGCACCTACCCCGGTATGCATATTAAAACAGGTAATATAGAGCGATGGCTGAGGGCATGTAGAAAACAATAAATGTAAGTTATCATTGCCATTCCCTGACCAAACCCCC